ATCAGCTATACAGCATTTGTGTCTGAATGTTACATTTCTGAGCATCATTGCATCCTCTGTCACTCATAACGAGGCCAGGCTCAGCCATATCTATCACTCGTCCTGTTTCACCTGATGGACCTCACCTTTGATCTGAGGAGTGACGCTGTACTGCGACCAGTCAGTGGAGAGGACCATTGCAGCCAGGTGAGCCCCAGCTGAGTGGCCACACAGGTACAGACCACTGAGGGAGAGATCGTGTTCATAAAACACAAACACAGACACATTAGATTTGTGATGGTGACATAAAATATATTTAACGTAATGTACTAACTTTAAAATAGGGTCAGAAAACAAGCATGGGTACCTGATGTGAGAATACTGCTGCACAACAGACACAATACTCCTACGTACTTGAGACACCATCAGGTCCATGTTGCCTGAAAAAAGAAGTGAAGTTCATCTTCATTTTTCTTTTCCCCCCAAGAACAGAAACAACCTTGTCAGAAATCAAAAGCCTCTACCTTTGGGGGCGATGTCATAGCCGACGGCAACCACTACTACGCCTTTATCAATGAGAGGGACAGCCATGAATCCTGACTCCTCCTTACTGTGTGAGCACAAAGAATCAAAGTGAAAAACCTGAACAAGAAATCATCATTTGCACTGCAGCAGAGGAGAACACAACACTGTACCTGAGAAACTGCCAGTAGCCTCCATGTAGGTAAATAACAAGGGGGACATCTGAAACAGAGGGAATCAGGCCTGTTAATCCTCACACACTATCTATGCTTCTGTATATCTGAAGCATTCCAGTGGGGTTGTCATGGCAGTCACAAATGTCCGTACCCAAAGAGTTGGTGCTGGGTATGTAGACATCCAGCTTCTCTCCATCTCCTTCTCCATATGGCACGTTGAGCAACGTTTGAGCCAGACCCCGGGCACGCTCCGTACCTGGACACACACGGTATTAAAGCAACAATGTGAAATATTATCAATTTGAGCACCATCAGAGCCATGCCTTTTAATATATCTGGGTGTATTAGGACATTGTGGATTTTTAGGGATCTAATTCACAGGTTTAGACAAAAATAAACATTCTCATATAGTTGTTTTATCCATAAACAGTTTCTCATGGGGTGCCATAAGCTACCAGGGGATTAAGGCACTGATCATGAATGGCAACACTCCTGTTTATAGTCCAACTGGGGATCTTTGTTGCATCATGTCATTCCCCAGCTCTCTCCCCAAACACTTCTCACTTCCCTGCCGTCTGCTCTCTAATAAGGCATCAAATCAAAGTGTTTACACCATTCATAATCAAGTCCCCCCTTGTGCAGAGGCATATTTAATTATAATCCACATTCTGTAGAAGAGAAAGAGGCAACATATTTAAGAAGTCCTCATTTCCAATTTCCCTTTTATAGGCTACAAAACCTGGCAGAGTATGCTCCACAAATTCAATGAATGTCCCAATTATGTAGTATTGTGTGGAATATGTACAAGGGAAGGAGCATGTATTTTGGAAGCATGTATTTTTCTGTCTTCACAAAATGTTATGTTGACTCCAAAGATGAAGTTGCTCTAGAAATCTTCAAAACTCATCAACAATAGTCACCAATGTGTAACTTGTTAACCCACAGAGCCTCTTTAGACTGATTATTTTCGTTAAAAAAATAATATGTGTGAAATATAATTAGCAGCCTCCGTTCTCTAAGTCAAAATACATATCAAAATATACAGATCTTATCTCAGGCTGCAATTCTTCGACAGGGAAACACATTTAATACACCTGTGCTCCTCTAACGCTGCTTGCTGGCCTGCCTGCTCGGCTCAACCGGATTTCTGTGCGTTGCCGTGAATTAACGTGTTAGCCTCGAAACACACCGACCTTCCTTTAAAGCCTTCACGTGAGCCTTGATCACGTCGTCTGCCGACATCCTGTGCGACCACCGGCTGGGTGAATACTGCCTCTCGAGCTCCTGTCACACGGGGAGACTGCTGTCAGCCGGGCGGCCATGAAAGCCGAGACACCAAGCACCATGAGCCGCGGACAAACACGGTAAACACGGTAAACAGCGCCCTCCGCTGCTATCATTAACCCTCTGCGTCAGTGACAGACTCACTCTGTCAATGGAGAGCCTGTGGCTGTTATAACAGGAGCTACTGATATGCGGTGCTAAGAGAAATATTCAGATCCTTTACTGTGAGTAAAAGTAGGGGAGACCGGGGTTGGTTGGCACACAGCTATTTTCTGAGCCTATGAGGATCACAGAAACAAAAATGTAGCGTCAGACCTGCACTTATCTACTATATGTTAAAACATATGAAAGTCACTAACGTTTTCTCTGAGGGTAACATTTCAGTTTTATAGTATCAGAAAATAAAAAAGGTGGTCTGTGGACTAAAGGTAGGCTGTTAGAAAACTGCATTAGATAGAGGTATAGGACATGTGTTACCTTCATCATTCATCATTCATCAAACAGTTGGGTCAAAGGTGAGCGGGGTTGGTTGGCACACTGATTTCTGGGGTGTTGGTTGCGACTGTTACTTTATTTTGAGAAACTAAAATGATTGAACAAACAACAACAAAAACAAAATGTTTTTCTATAGTTTTATTATTATTTTTAATGGCCAGTGGCAAAAGTAATGTGACATTCCTACTGATTAATCACTTACAATGTTGTTTGGTTTTTAAAATGGGCAGATATTCTACTAAATGTTTGTGTTTTCTGGTTCTTCATTCATTCATTTTTCTTAACTGCCTATACTGTTAGGGACCATGGGGGGGGGGGCTGGAGCCTATCCCAGCTGACACTGGGAGAGAGGCGGGGAACACCCTGGACAGGTCACCTGACTGTCGCAGGGCTGCCACATTCAGTACGTTTCATGCACGCAGTATTCAAGCTAAGCTCATAGCTCGGCTAATCAGTCAATTCAGACTTCTCGTCCTGTCTGGGTATACATGCAGAAGAGAAAATCGAATTTCTGACCAAGTATGTCTGACTCTGCCTATAGCGCGTATTGAACTAGTTCCTGTTGACCTGAAGAGGAAGCTAATGACGAATGAAGATGGTGGAGATGGATGTTGCTGTGGCTCTGTATGTTTTGTACATGCTTTACGTGTTAATCGTCTTCTGCTTCCCGGTTGCCATGGTGTTTGTTTATTTGTTTTTCCGGGAGTTACTGCACTGCTGCTACATTATCTCCTTCTCCTTCCGGGTGAAAGCCTAGGTATGTAAGTTGAGCTACGGATAGTCCAATTTCAGTCAGACTAAGCTGTTTACATGCATTTAAAAGTCCAGTTTCAGTCCGACTAAGCCAATAATTGGATTTTCTCAAGCTGCATGTAAACGTACTGAGTGTGACAGACAACCATTCACGCTCACATTCACACCCACGGGCAATTTAGAGTCACCAGTTAACCTGCATGTCTTTGGACTGTGGGAGGAAGCCAGAGTACCTGGAGAAAACCCACACTGACACAGGGAGAACATGCAAGGTCTGCACAGAGGGGCTCCCCCACCCCGGGTTTGAACCAGGAACCCTCTTGCTGTAAGGCGACAATGCTAATGACTGCACCACCGTGTCGCCTTTCTGGTTCTTGTTTGATTGAATATTCAGATTGTTTTTACTGGTTACTTCAGTTTTTTGTAACTACAGCATTCAAACATCATGCCAACCAACCCAACACAAAATGACCTTAATTACAAATCACCTAATTTTAGAAATCTTTGTGTAAATCAAAACATGTTTATTTATAGTTCAGTTCTTAATCTTTCATTTCCTGCTGGTTAGAATATTCTAACATAAATTATGCCAGAGAAGTACAGCAGAGTGAAAAGTGTGCCAACCAACCCCGGTCTCCCCTACTAATACCTCACTGTGAAAACACTCCACTACAAGTTAAAGTCCTGCATTCAAAACCTTAAGGAAAAGTCTGAGTATTATCAGCAACATTTGCTTAAAGTACTTTATTTAAAAAAAGAGGGTAAAACAATGTACTGAATGAGTGAGTAAAAAACAAGTCAGCAAAGACAGGAATATCTATTCAGGATATGGTTAGCTGTTACAATTCTCCTGTATGCTCATAATGGTAACAGAGAGAAAAGGGGAAATAGTAGTCAAAGTCAAACTCTTACTTCTTTCTTCATTTTGGTCCAGTGCATCATTTTATCTCTTGAAGTATTTTAGCTCGCCAAAAGTCCGCTGGCAGATAAATCCGAGCCACGTGTGCACAGCTGTGGAGGCCTACTAAAGGACTGGACTTTGGATTAATGACCCACAGCTGAAAGCTCTTTGAAGAACAAACCAATCCAAAAGCTTTCTCTAGTTAACTGCTGGTGACACCATGTTTACAGCCGAGTTAAAAGGAGGAAGGGAAAGATGGGCGTACTGCAGCTAGTTTCTACATGAACATGTTTGTTTGCCTGACTAACCATGTAACCACTATAGACACAGTGCAGCCACTTTCCAGGAAGTAAAAGTCATGGTGTTTTGACATGAAACTACTGGCCCACAGGCTACAGGCTTTGCACACGTTTGTTAATTACGCTGAATCGTATTTATGTTCTGTTTAAAATTTTTGGAATATTCAGGAGACATTTTGAGAATTTAATTAATTAATTAAAACCAATAGTGAAATGTTAATTAATATGGTAGGTAACACAACTGTGCCTACTGTTAATAATATATGATGCACGTAGCACCTTAACACAAGCTGCTTTTCTTGATCTGGATACAAACCATAGATGTAGAAGGTTTAACACCACAGATTTATAATAAATAATAAATAATTACGCATGGTCATGTTGGGTCATGTTCGTCAGTTTGCAGGCAGCTGTTGGGTCATGTTGAAAGCAAACCCTCTTTACCGAGCAAGTACTTCCTACTAGGCCGTATGACGTTGTGTGCTCTGATTGGTCAGCAGAGGCGCTGTCCTTTCTGTGGAAGCCAATTGGTTCACAGAATCACGTGACTCCTCGCCCATTGGTTGAGTCTTAGATAAAGACGCCCACAAAACAGCGGCGCGCCACATTCAAGAGTTTCTAGCGCCGTAATCTTTCCCGGGGTGTAAATTTGTAATATATTGTTATTTATTTTATTTTTCTGTAATATTTTTAAACTGTAGCGTATTTACATAAACATGGACTGTGTAGATTTCCCAAGAGTTCTTCCAAATTCACCGAGAAAGGCACGAGGACAAATTCAGGTTCGTATCTGTTAACGTTGTCACAGTATATCGTCTCATAAACTAACGAAGCTTAAATAAACTCACATTAACAGGACATAGTCTTAGCTAAGGTTAAATGTGTATTTAAAGAAATGCTTAAAGTGCTTTTGACTTTCAGCTCTCTTCACTTCCTCAGTCTGACTAACGTTAACTCACTGTTGTTTACAGGTCATCTTTGGACCCATGTTTTCAGGCAAAAGGTGAGTTATGCATTCAAAAACTAAAAGGCAAACATCTCTTTGCACGTTCAGTTAGCTATTTTGAATCTATATGTACTGTTTAAAGTAATGTTAAAACAAGATACCGCCCAGACTGCAACATCCCGCCAAATATCACCCATTGTTTACCCAGCTCCCAAACAGTCTGTATGATAATGTGAAGAGTACAGTCGCTTTACAGTATGCTTTCTATTTTAACTGATTTTAGGAGTACTTCACACTGATGCTGCACATTATAATAAACAGTATTTCATAGTAGACATTGCCTCATGCTTTTGGTGAAGTAGCATTCTTTATGAAATTAGTGTTGGAGAAGCTCTGTCACATAACTGGTAGTAACCATTGTATTTTCCTGTGCAAAATGTACAGATGGGTTTCCACTGATTTAAACTTAATTATTGTCATTTTCCAGCACTGAACTGATGCGAAGAGTGCGCCGTTTCCAGATAGCCCAGTACAACTGCTTGGTGATCAAATATGCCAGAGACACACGTTACTCGGACACAGGCATGGCCACACATGACAAGTAAGTCTCCTGTTTTCATTTATTCAGCCAAGCTGCTCACATTTACAGAAATATACCTGTCTTTGTGTTTTGGGATAAGGTCACTACATACTTATAATAATTTTCCCACAATGCCAATTACAACATGGGGTGGATGGGCTGTTATTTGTAACATGAAATTATACTTGATTGCACATACATAACTTAAGAGAGACACAGAGATGACAAAGGAAACATATGATGCTGAGGTGGATTTGTGGAAAGGATCTTTACAAGTTAAGAAAGTAGCCTCATGTCTAAAGGAGTGCACTAAATTTTAAACTGCATGAGCTGCTCTTGAAGAAGGGCAGACAGGGAGAAATACTGACTAGGGTTCAGCTGCAGCCTTGTGGAAATACCGTGTTTCTGATCCATGATACTTGGGCAAAAGAGGACCTCTAGTGGTGGGATTTCTTGGTAGATGTAGATTTTCCTGTCTAATTATTTTTGGTGGACCTCTGAATAAAGTGGGAATAATCTAATTATCAGACACATTTTAATAAATATGTTTGGCAATATGGATTCCCTTTCTGAACAATTTCAATCCTTTCGCTCTTTTAGAAACACAATGGAAGCCGTGCCAGCCAGTTGTCTGGGAGATGTGCGACATCTGGCGTTGCAAGCCTGTGTCATTGGAATCGATGAAGGACAGTTTGTAAGTATATATTTACACAAGGACATCTTACTCTGCACTAGCAAGTGGGACAAATCCCTCATTAAGTCTGCTCTTCTTTTGTGTTATTCTAGTTTCCAGACACAGTGGAGTTTTGTGAAGAGATGGCCAATTTAGGGAAGACAGTCATCGTAGCTGCTTTGGATGGAACCTTCCAGAGAAAGGTGAGCATCAGTTCGCTCGGTGTGATACTGACAACATTCATGGTTCACACTGACAGACAGCCACTGTGTAGCTGCTGCAGGGGCAGACACAACAACATGTCCAAGACAAGAGGCACATTTTTAAGAAAGGCCTGAACAATGTGCATGAGCAGCTGGTTCAGTGTGCCCATTATTCCTCACTATAGTGTGTTTGTTCTGTCCTGGCAATGTAATTATACCTCCAACTATACTGACTGCTTTTCTGCTGTCCTGTGCATTCTTGTAGCCATTTGGGAACATCCTGAACCTCGTCCCTCTGGCGGAGAGCGTAGTGAAGCTTCATGCCGTCTGCATGCAGTGTTACAAAGAAGCTGCCTACACCAAGAGGATAGGAGCAGAGAAGGAGGTGAGGAGGCCAACCTAAGAAAAGTCTTAAATGAGCTAACCGTAAAGTGCTTTAAAACCCTTTTCTCGTGTCAGACCAAAAGGTACCTCCATATGTCTTAAATTCATATTTATTTCACAAAAAAATGCAAATATGATAAGTACTTTTGACTTCATAAAGTATCATGAAACAATAACAGGAGCTAGTTCTGTAATTATGTGTCTATATCAGTCACTCTTAAATGTAGAGTGAACAGATTTTTTAGTGAATCAGAAAGTCCCCTTTCCCTTCATCAACTTCTTATAACCTGTCAACTACTGTTTCTCTGTGTCACAGGTGGAGGTGATTGGTGGAGCTGACAAGTATCAGGCGGTGTGTAGGAAGTGTTACGGGGGTCTGGTGGTGGACAAAGAGAACAGCGCTCCCTTCAGGAATGAAACGCCACAACAAGCCCTCACAGGAAAACTCGTGGACTCTGCAGTGCCCAGGAAGCTTTTCTCCTCTCTCCACCTCTAAAGACTCGAAAATAACTCTTGCAGGAGTTGAGCAGAGACTATAAATCTATGAATCAAAGGGTTTCTGTGTGTGGGAGCAAACAATAAGTGGAAGGAAAATGTAGTCTTTTATCTCACAGTAACCTTTTTGTTTTCTGGTATTTCAGGTACCTCCAGTTTCCTGCTAAACATGGATTAATCAGCCCAGATAACTTCCTTTAAACCTCTGTGTTTGTATTAGGTGTCTAATTGGTGCAGAATATTATTCTATGTATTAAGTTTTTTAACTTGACGTGACAAAGCACTTGATAATAACCCTGAAAATGAGTTGACCAATGAGTAACTCACTGTCATTGGTTTCACTACACTGGTGTTTGGATTTCTTTCAACGTCTGTAACTGTAGCAATATCCTGTCAAACGAAAGGTTTTATATTATTTTTGTTTAACTAAATGTACTGTGCATGTATCAATGCATTATTTTCTGCCAACATTCATAAAGAAGAGATCCTCACTGGAAGGTTTGACTCATGTACAGCAGGTCAGGAGTAGGGCTATGTATTGGCAAGAATCTGGGGATATGATATGTGTCACAACATGGGGTGACTATTAAATGTATTTCGATACTCTACACAAGGCAATATATGATTTTTTTTTTTTAAATTTGTGTGTGTGTTGTTTTTTTTGTTTGTTTGTTTTTTCTAATTTTAGGAAAACAATGCTTGTAGTTCATATTTAATGACACTGCCTGTTTCACAGGCTGGTGTTCTTTGTGTTGGCACAAGCAATACTGTATGTTACATTGGAGTGGAAGAGTCAAATGGCTGAATGATCCAGCTGTATGCAGTTTAAACACAAAAGAGAATGAACCACTGCCACAGATCTTTGCATGTTAACTATTAATTAAAAATGATAGTTTTTTAAAAATTGTTACAGTATCACAAAACATAATTTCACAATGCTCAAGTATCGTTTTTTTCTTATACCTAGATGAGTAACGTAGTGATGAGTCAAATTAAATTTAAATTGTGTATTTCAGAACCGTTGAGATTGTCTTTACTCTTACACTTACAGTAAATGTTTTTAATTCTAATACACTAACTGTGTGATGTGTAACCCAATGCCCTCACATGCTACAGGGGACCAAAATAACCTGTTTAAATCCTGGCAGGCTCTGAGGCTGTGTGGTGAGCTGGTGGGGTGGAATGGAAAAAGTATATCCTCCCTACTATATAAAACCTGTATTACTGCTGGGCATGAATGGAACAGTAACCTTAATATAACTCAACATCCTGTGAGGGATTTATGATTCTGAAAGATGACTAAAAATGAAAGCAAAAGGCATATAACAACTTCACAACTATAAAAAACAAAACCAGAATTACTGCGTGCCTCCAGGAACCAGTCAAGTTGCACCTACAGTTTACATCCATGTCTGTTCAGACTCGTGTGTAGCAAAGACAGTAGACAATGCTTCAGATATGTTGCTGCAAAAAGATTAGTGCAACCAATTCAGTATAATCTCCCCTGATGTCTCCCCTGAGTTATGATGTTGAATAATGGCCAGGAAAGTGTTTTTGCAGAACATAATGATGTCACAGTGAAGTTGACCTTTTACCTTTTGGATATAAAATATCATCACTTCATCATTTTTATTCTACTTGACATTTGTGTTAAATTGTGTCATAATTAGCACATGAATTATTGAGTTATTATGGCCAAATTCTAATCAATTCATTGTAGAGTCCAAGTGGATGTCTGTGCCAAATTTGACGAATTTGACTGAGGAAAGGTAGGAGAGAGGGCGGATGACAAGCAGCAAAAGGCAGTGGGTTGGAATCTAATTTGGGCCGCTGCAAAGGACTCAGCCTGTATGAGATGTACACTCTGCCAGGTGAGCTGGATCACTGTGACCTCTGACCACCAAAATCTAATCAGCTTACTGTTGAGTCTGAGTGGAAATTTGTGCATAATTTGAAGAAATTCCCTCAAGGCATTCTTGAGATATTGTGCATACAAGAATGGAATAGACAACTCAAAAAAAAGAAACCATAATGCCTCCGTCCACAATTATCACCAGTGCAGAGGAATAAAGAGAATTTGGAAACAGAATATATAAATATGAATATAAATATATGAATTTGGCTGCATGGTGGTAAAGTGGTTAGCAATGTCGCCTCACACCAAGAGGGTTCCTGGTTGAAACCCAGGGTGGAGGAGCCCTTCTGTGCAGAGTCTGCATGTTCGTGTCAGCATGGGTTTTCTCCAGGTACTCCGGCTTCCTCCCACATTCCAATGACATGCAGGTTAACTGGTGACTCTAAACTGTCCATAGGTGTGAATGTGAGCTTGAATGGTTGTCTCTATGTGTCAGCCCTGTGATAGTCTGGTGACCTGTCCAGGGTGTACTATAACAGGATAAGCAGTTACGGAAAATGAATGGAAACAGAATGGGAAAAGCAAATGAAGCCAACCAAAGTCTGACCAGTGTTTGTGCCAGTTTTTATAAAACATTTGTAGGAATCACAAATCAAACACAAATCATTCTAATCTCCACACACCTAAAACAAAGACAAAGATGAAACATAAATTTATCCAACAAAATGACAAATTTGAAAAAAATTCAATGTGGGCTACAAAATGTTGATAATCAGCATTGCATGTCAAATTTAAGTCTCATGTTACCATTGTTAAAGGATATTGTGACACAGTAAGTTTACAGGCACAGTCAAGAGATTCACTATCAATTGGGTGATTACAAGCTGCACTAACAGAGGGATAAGCAGATTTAACTGATTTTGCAGAGCATGAAAATCAGTCCTTGCAAAAAATCATTCAGGCACAGCAGTGTGGGCAGCTGTGATGCACAGCTGTTTCCTCTAAATATAACTTATAATATTGATCTTGGCACATTTTCACTCTTATCACTTTCCTTCCTCAAAAACCCTTTAAAGTTTCATTTCCCTCCTCAGGTACAAATGATAATGCGACAGAAGTGTTCTTCATATATATGGCTTCAGTAAGTTATGCATGTGTATTTTCTATTGTAATCAACAACGTCATTCCACTTGTACAAACGTCTTCAATGTGGTACCACATTAGCTTCATGTTTAATAAATATAAACAATTTCTGGACTGTCATTTGCAGATCTCATCTTACATCCCTGCAACAATTACCAAAGTCTGACCTGAGGCCAAGGTTTGAGCGCCAGATTAGCAACAACAGCCAAACAGGATCCGAGGCAGCTGAGGTGTTAAACTGACAGAGAGACAAAGTAAACCAGTAGTATTTTGAGGGACAGGTGTTTGATTCTCACCAGTGCATGCTGAGGTGTTAATCTGTCATTGGTAAAGACAAAGCTGCTGCAGTCTGCCCTCAACAGTTCAGATTAAGGAGGCTGTAAACAGGAGATAAACATGAGTGTTGAGAAAACTAAATGCCACAAGGACCTTGGAGGAAGTGTGTGGCCTCTCCGTCAGCAGGCTGAAGACGGAGCATTGTTTCTGGCAGTTAATAAGTTACTCTTCAGGATGAGGACATGCTCGCTGGATAAACCTGTTCAATAAGTGCATAGTTATCTACATGTTCCTCCCTCTTTGTCTATCTGAATGCTAGCTGCAAGTTCAAAGGGCAACATTGACTATGAAAGTCCAATAAACACCTCTACCGATTGGCAAGTTGGCACAGGTGGCAAATTCGTTACATGTGCCATGGTCAGAGTTGAAGAAATGGAGGGTGTTTTGTTTACAGTGGGCTTAAAAAACACAGGAGCCATTTTACTGTAGCACACAGACTGCAAAACTTTCTGTCAGGGGAGATTTTATGGTTATATGGCTTAGAAACGTCACTGGCTTCATTTGGCTTTATAGTGGTTTTTTCCCACTGTACACTACTCCCACAAAATCCTTTGTTAATTTAACACACCTTACACAGTTTAAATGTCCTCAAGATAAATGCACTGAAGGGGAAACATCCATTAAAAGAGCTGTATGTAACTCTGGGCAAAGATCATTTATTGTTGAGTCTCATTCCCAGGTCGTCAAACACAGGCACTTTGGATTGGTGGTTCAGCCCGACTACCAACCCCAAATGTCTGTATTTGATGACCTGGAAATGAGACTCAATAACCAACTATCTTTCTCCAGTTACATACAGCACCTTTAAACCAAGTAAGAAAAGAAAATTAGGCACATGCAACCATTAAAACGGCAGCTTTGCATAGTGAAATCTATGTACAAATGCACATTCTCAGGTTCCAACAGAGAGAGCAGAGGAACACACTGAGTGCTGACTTCATCCACTCTGATTGGACGTGTCACAGGTATTCTTTATGTGACCTTTGACCTCCTGGGTACATTCTATCTACCTCTTCCCCTCAGGATCAGCCCATTTGAGGTAAAAAAAAAAGTTTCGTCTTTGCACACAGGTCTATGGTCAGATTACCCAATCATCAGTGCTAATCTCAACGGTCAGCCTGATGTCTTAAGATCTGACCACAGACCCTCTGACGTAAACAGCAGTGTCCCTCAGCTCTGGCTTGCAGTTGCACTGCTCAGGCTCTTGAATCGAACGACACTTGGGGAAAGTTAAATCAAATGTGAAACTACATCAATATGATATAGCTCTGGATCTGCGCAGTGCAACTACAATCAGTGTACCAACAGATGACCTGGAACACCACCTCGTCACCTCACGTGACTTCCCTTTGTCTCAGTAGCTGGGTGGCTGGTAGCCGGTGTCTCCTTGTGGCTGGGGGTTTGCGGTGAAGGGAGGCTGCTGGTCGGGCACGCTGCTGGGATAAGCGGTGTAGGTGGTGGGGGTGTAGGTAGTGGGGTTGTAGGAGGTGGGGGCGTAGGTGGGAGGGTAGGGGGTGTGGAGATCTGGAGGTGGCTCCGTGTAGGTTGGGATGGCGACTTCAGTAACACCGCGGCGGAAACGGATCAGCGCAAAGTAGGTCAGGATTCCCTGCATGGTGAAATAAAAATGACATGGCGGTTATTAAAGTTACTTCCCAATAAATACATATATTACTTTATATATTCATTTTTTTAACCATGAGTGTCCTGGCCGAGACATCAGTTACAGGCAAACATAGGACAAAAATACAGCTTAAAAGTGTGAAGCTCTAAAACAAGCAATATAAAACACAAAATAAGATTATAGCTGCTGTGCAGCGATGGGTCAGGTCCGGGCATTTTTAGGCAATTCTGAGCAACAAGCAGAAGAATTGGAAGACATTTAGGAATTTAGCAACGCAATCTGCCTTTTGCATCAGCTGAGGCTTGAACTCACAACCTCTGAGACTATGAATCAATTTCTCATTGAGCTAATTAGTCAGTGACAATTCATGTGTAGCTTCACAAATTGACTAAGCCAGACGTGCAGGTTTAGCAGCCGTACATGCATGGAAAAGCAGTTGAGCTATGTGCAAAGTGAGAAGCCTCAGATGGCTTCACACTGAAGTATTGACACTGGATCTTTGTGCAAAGTTTGGTTTATTTTCAAGCATGAGAAGGCAGATTTTCTACCTGAAAAAAGACTTGCTGCACAGTGATCAGTCACGCTCAGGCAATTTTAAGCAACAAGCTGGAGCACAAGAAGATGTTTACATGACAATGTGGATTCTGCACCAGTTGAGGCTCAAATCTGCAACCTCTGGAACCTAAGACGGTCATCTACCACTCTGAGCTAAATGGCAAGTAGCAACTCAACAGTGGCTTCACATATTGAGTAAGCCATTCACTGTTGTGTAGGAAAGCAGCCATCTGTGCATGGAAAGGCAGATTTGAAATCACTGTAAAAAATTCAGTTATTAAGACAAAAATCTGAAAATACACATATTGCATCTAGACAGCATGGAGATGTTGGTAATTTGTTTGTAACAATGATTGATTTGCTCCTTAAGTGAAAAACTTATGTTTAAAATTGTCATTTTAACATTGACTCCAATTGTTCACATTAGAGCAAAATTCAAAATGCTGTCAAAAATTCAGTTTTTGAGATAAAATTCTGAAATTTGCCACACATCTACCATGACTCCAAAATTTTGTCATTTTTTTAATGAACATTGAAGATTTATTTAGCAAGAATTTGCATGTATATGTTTACAGTACCGTTTACAGTCAAACATTTTGATGCACGGTAGGCTCAATTTTTGATAAATCAAAAATCTTTGTAGGACAGTCTGAAGATGCTCTGTAGCAAGCTTGGTGTCAATTGAGCAAAAAGGAGGAGGAGATAGGTTTAAGAAGTTTTACAGTTTTTGAAAAAAAAACAGAGTGATGAACTTCATCATTTTTAATCGGTTTAAATGTACAAAAGTTTCTTCAGTATTGTAGCACGTATGGTTGATTTGTTATGAATTTTCAAAGTTTTGAACTTTAGACGCTTGCTGTATCGCCACCATCAGGACTATTGGCTTGAGTTTACAGCGGAGGATATCTGGCATGAGACTGGACCTTTGTGCAAAGTTTGGTGAGTTTTCACCCATGGGAAGTATGATTTCCTCAGAAGAAGAAGAAGAAGAAGGATTACAATAGTGTCCTGGCAGCTTAGCTGCCCGGACCCTAATTACTATAATTATTTTGTTTTGAAGGTTTACCATGCAGGATTGTTGGTTACTGTTTGGAAACAGGTTCGCCAACTAAAGTGAAAGTAAAGGCCAACCCCAGATTCACTCTAGTTCGGCATCTTGCCTTGCTATATTTGCATTTTTTTCAGCACTGTGTCTCTTGGATGCCTGCTGCTTATGGTCTGGCACCTGGTCGCTACCTTTTTATGAAGCCCCAACCTCACCTGGGCGCTGCGGGGGTACACACCCATAAATGTCTCAAGCACAGAAAATAAAAATAAAAATCTAACACTTTTGGTGGGTCAGAAGTGATGATTGAGAGGGATTGCTTCTGCAAGAGTTACACATTTTTATTAGGAAAATCCTGCATTGTATATCCTTTAAATATTTCTGAGGGCGTTCCAAAATTTACTTCGACTTTTTGACTGATGCAATTTTCTCAACTTGTAACTGAACTGGTTTCACCTCATACCAGCGTCAAAAATAAACTTGCAGAGACTTACAGCTTCTTAGGTGAGATAATCCACCATAATGACATTCAATCAGTCAATACATCAGATTATTTCTACATTCCTGTGATAATGCAGTTAAATACAGTTTTTTTTGACAAGTCTTCTGAAAGGTGCATTCAAGTGATAGTGAACACCAGGGTAATTACAAGTCCAGAAGACAAACAATAAGCAGCTGTTTGGTGTTTGCTCTCAGCTATTATAGTTACATACGGTAAATACAAGAGTTACACAGGATGGAAAATCTGTGTGACATCAACTTCATTTTGATTTTTAGAAACAAAACGTCTGCTGTTCAGCAGCTGACTTGGAAGCATCAGATGTCAGAGGTGCACGCCAGTACTTGAACACACCAACCAGCAAGAGTTTTAAAACAACATGTGACTTAATTTGTTGTTACTCTAAAGTCTGACAGTAAATACTACACAATAAACAGTGATATAAATGTCTAGCAAGTTCATGTACCATACTGCAATGAACTGAAGCCAGCTTTAAAGAAGTAGTTTGATATTTTAGGGCCTGTATCCAAATGGCTTTTTTTTTTTTCAAAGCATCGGTGTCTTTGATCAATTGTTCCCAGTGAGGAGAGAGCGTATGTTGCTGCCTAGAGAAAAGCGCTTCTAGTTGAAAAAACTCTCCAGAAAGGCACTGGCGTCATCACTGCCGCTCTTTTAGCTACGGTGTATCCAGAGGTGTATGACATGTCAGACAGAAATGATCACAACAAAGACAGAGAAACCAATTTCTGTAAGCAGATCGACCGGACACTGAATGTTGCTTGTAACTGTTGTACTTTTATCTTTGTATGTGTTGTAAGCATGCTGTTAACTGTGTGGTCAACCCCCTGTTAACATAGAGTTACATCATCTACCTTGCTAACGCTAATGTCAAGATATTGCTGTCATGGAAACAAAACCCACGCCTAAGGGGGTCATTTAAGAAAAGCACTAGGAGTGTTTTGTTTTATAAAGCGCTGGGATGAAGTGTTCCCCTGCACCCTGCCACCATTTTTCTGCCAAAGAAAAACATTATGTGGACACAGACCCTCAGATGAGATGAAAGTCTCAGCTGTTTTTAATGAAAAGGAGACAACAGCTGTCCCACTCACCCAGGTGGCGATGGAGAAGAACGAGAAGGCGACAGTGGCTCGTGCAGCGTCCTGTGGGATAGCACTGATATCATGAGTTTTAGCCCACTGGCTGGCCAACAGGCAGAAACACACAAACCACAGGAAGCTCCACACCCCTAGAAAACACAGAGACACAGATGCACAAACACATACACACAGATATAAATAATCTTTTTTCCTCACTGTATTAAAAGACACTGAACGTGCCTGGCTGAAAACCCAAATATGAAAACTAAATTCCTGTGAAAAATATACCAAAAACAACGTCTAAAGAACACAAAGGGCACTCCTGTTGCCATCTCCGCGAATGACCACAAGCTGGTTCTTCAAACTACCACTTCTTTGTTTCCTCGAAGAATGGCTGACTGTGAACTGTGTCATGTACAGCTGATGAATGTTTAACTTCATCACAATCTGTGATGTCATCTGCTGCTCACTCAAAATCTACTATGTGCCACGATGAATATACATGTTGTGTTATGTCAGGGGAAACAGGCAGCTCTCTGTCGCACATTACGCCGATACTCTGTATGAATACAGCAATATCGCCTCATAAAGCTGATATGGTGAATGTGTTAGCAAACATTAGCTCTTTGTTATACACAGCAATATTAGCGTTCATTTAGAGTAGGATGTGTCCAATAGTCACTCACCTGAGAATCCCAGGTCTGCCATGACAGCATACTTCCTCTCCTGCGCATTGCTCATAAAAGGCACGTAAGCGTCCAACACCAGGAAGGCCACACATGCCAGGAAGGCAATCACTCCGATGCCAACTGCGTAATGACATGCCGAGTCATTCTGGTTGAAGATGCACTTAGCCTCGGCACTGTGGGCAGAGTTGATGTATCCCTCTGTCGTGATGCAGGCAAACACCACCAGGGCAAATATCTATATTAAATCAGAGAGAAGAAGAAGAAGGTGGTCTTCAGTGATTTGCAAAGACACAAGAGGAAAGTGTCTGGTTAAAGGAGCATAGCACTGGCTTTTTAAGTTTACCCATTAACTTCACATCGCATACTTTACATTACTAGTGACCACTTTGGCTTTGAGACTGATTTCCTACCTCTCAGGCAGCCATTGGTTTCACTTCAGCAGAGCACAGTATGATCATCAACTAGCAGAGAACTTAAAACTCAAACATAGGTCATTCACGTTATCATTGTCTTATGAAAATTCAGTTTAGAAAAGGCGTCCTTGGTGGTGCATTCAGAGAAACTCAGACATTTGGTATTTAAGTGTGCTACTTAAAAGCACTGCAACCAGGAGCTCTGCAGTCACAAAATCAACCACAGAAGAAAAAGAAGAAGAAGAAGAAAATCACTGCAGCCTTCATGCAAAGAATATGTGACTTCTGCTTGTCTTTGCATAATAGAGATACTGTAAAGTATGGCGGCAACTAACTGTTACTTTCATTATTTACTTATCTGCCCAATATTTTCCAGATTAATCGATAAAATAAATAAAAAGTCAGAAAATATTGAAACATGCTCTGCTCTGCGTAATGTCCCAAAGCCCAAGGTGACATCCTCAAATGATATATTTTATCTGACAAAATGGTCCAAAAATCCGGCGCTATTTAGTTCATAATCATATATGACAAACATAAGCATCAAATTCTCCAATTTAAGAATGATGAAACCAGCAAGTGCTTGTTTTTTTGCTTTAAAAAATGATTAAATCAGTTATTCCGCGACCAAAACAGAAGCCAGTTGATTTCCAGTTGATCAACTACCTGATTACATTAATCGTTGCAGCTCTGCTGTTCAGTAAAATGAGCAAACATCCTCAGGGTGAGCATGTGTCTACGGAAGATAACTAAATTTATCTGATTAAAATGATATAACATTTCAAGAATGTACTGAAAGACCTGCTGAAACAGTGACATCATAATGTGTCATCATAACGGTCAGTTTTCTTTCTGCTGACTCTTAAAATACTCCTGTGCTCATTGTGTGTTTACAAAGTGAAGTGAGCACTAACTGCTCCCTCTGACCGTCCCGTGGTCTGTTGCTGTCTCCTCTGGTTACCCACCTAACCATGTGACCTACTTCTGAGTGCAGCTGCCTGCCATGTGACTGCGGAGATGCCACCAACTCCACTAACAACACTCATAATGAGATCCGGGAGGAGGATAGAGAGGGACTGTCTGACGGGTGGAGGGAGGACGAGGTGAGAGGGCGGGGGAGGGAGACAGAAGACAGAGGAATTAGGGAAGTGAATGTGGGAAGTTTCAAAACAAAAGTGAGGCGGAGGGATGGTTAGTGGAGCGGAGGGAAGTTTCTGAACATAAATGGACAGATGGAAAGTGTTTGTGTGCTGAGTGACAGATGTCAAAGACAAGCCAAAATGTCCCATATGTGTGCACAGTATGTTCTTGTTGCCATTACACAGCAGAAATAACACTGATACCCTCTTTTTGATGACTTAATTATGACGCTACGTTTTCCATTATTTATCTTGAATATGATTGAAATATACGTTTTATATGTAACAGTCAGGACAGCAACGCCACTGAAGAATGTGTATTGTTTCTTCTAGAGAAAGTGACGTGCTTTAACACCATAATGGTTCTGTGTGTAGGATTTAGGAGCATCTATTGGCAGAAATGGTATTTAATGTTTATCACTATGTTTTCATGACTTCATAATAACCTGAAGATAAGAACTGTTGTGTTTTCGTTACTTTAGAGTAAGTTGTCTATATCTACGTACGGCCTGGGTCCTCTTCAGGCCTAACCATGGAATAAGAACTTCCTGGTCCATCACGTGATGCCTTGGGGCCCAAAAAGACCTTTCCCCATAGATTTACATTATAAAAATATGTCTGTAAATCAGTGGATACGATTTTTTGAGCATCACAACCCCCTTAAAATGACTCGTTTCACTGTCAGGATTTGATCCAGTCGATCCACTAACATTTCTAAAGTCTAGAGAAGCAGCACAGTTAAATCATTTCATCCTGATTCAAGTTAGCGGAGTGCTAAACCAGAGATTAGCCACTCTGCTCGCAAAAGTCTGCAAGTACAAGCTCTAGGAGCCTGATCCTGGTAATTTTATACCCAAGAAGCACTACTGAGCAACTTTCATAGGAATAAACGGGGCCCCACCTCCAACGCTGTACCCAGATCTCCAGTCTGTCATGTTTCTACAGTAGCCCAGAAAGGACAAACCAAACACTGGCTCTAGACAGGGCCATTTGCGTTTCTGCGTCTGCCATTGTTATTCCTCTTAACACTTGGCACACAGAATTTTCAGTTCTGCAACCACACTGCTAGATGCCACTGAATCCTACACACTGGACCTTTAAGTGACCAAGGGCCACTGTGCACAGCCTTTCCTTGTTCCAGGAGCAGGTGTGGTGCATCATGGGACCTGTAGGCAGGGTCACAGAGCTAACAATCCCCTCTTGTGTCATAGGTGAAGCTCGCTGAAGTAAGATTCACCAGAGATAGATGGTGATCGAGCCAGTGTGAATATGAGATGAGTTGAGCACAGCTGCTCTGAGAGTGTGTGTGTGTGTGTGTGTGTGTGTGTGTGTAGAGGGAGATAAGTGGCACACATTCACTAAAAGTAAAAGCAAGGGTCAAGGGGGGATAGGTATCACCTTACCTGCCCATCAGCCCCTGTTTATTACTGACACACTCACAATCTCACACACAGTTTCCCAAACACATTAACACACAGCAGTTAGTTGCGGCAACCGAGGGCACATTCTGTCCTCATCCACCACACTGAAGAAGCTACATTACCCAGGTGGAGCTGTGTGTTTTTCCACCGCCTACACCCACCCTGCGTGCACATTATAGAGGCCTTACAAACAGTTTACGCCTCATGAACCTGGTGAAGTAAATCAAATGTAGTCTTGGTAATCCAAGATATGAGTATGCGAGAAGATGAAAGCTGTCACATCCAATAAAACTTCACAATGAGGATCTAAATCACCAAGGAGACATTCAAGGACAGATACGACAGTTCAATCTTTAAATCTGTACGCTCACATTCACCCAGGGTTAGATGCCAGTGTGTTTTATTGTCTAACCTGTCTGGTCGAGATTCATTTTGGACTTTCCACATCAGTGTCCCAACCAGAAAAACAAATCTGTGCCACAAGATTTGCCTAGCAACAGGTGATCAGCAGCTTATAAAAACTTCCCAGAACTTTCCCAGGTGCATGAAAACCCCTCTTCATGCAAACACACTTAGTCTGTACAACCCCTTTGTAATGAGTTTTAATATTATTGTCTTGTGTCCATTTTAATATATAAAATACTGTATTAGAGAGTGATATCTTATAATCTGAGTTAAGAAGTTACAAGCAGTCTTCCTTTAGTGAAATGCTCTGTGATGACACAGCTCTGGTGTAAAAGAGATCACTGACAGATTAAAATGATCACACACACTATATTTAGTCAGGGTGTTGCTTCCATCTCAGTGAGTCTAAAAAGTTTTCTGTCTTTTGTCCTCTGACAGCAGCAGTGTTGACCTGTGCTGTCGCCGAGCTGCTGTCATACACCAGCTGCGTGCAACATGACGCCCCGCAGAGACGCAGCACATAGTAGCCTGTTGTTCAGACCCACACAAACACATATAAAGCCTTAAACCGCTCCCCGGAGGCAGCAGACGGGCCCCGGGCCAGGCGCACCTGCTCTCACACCATGTTGGATATTACTTCTGGTTCTTTTGAACATTTGTACATGCGCTGTTAAAACATAAACTCCTCTACACCCACGCTCCACTCACCCAGCTCAGTATCCGCACTATGGTCTGCGGCTGCCGGATGAACTTGTTGAAATCGAAGCCTCCACCTGCCAAAGAAATCCCGTACGCAGTAGCACCGCCCGTATCCTCCATGTCTCTGCCGTTCAGCTGATCCTCCGGAGCTCTCCTCTAAGGTTTCCACCGACCTGACAGGACAGCATAAACTAAAAGTACAGCCACCTCCTGTCGTGCGCCACCCAGAGGAGCTGCGCACGCGGCTGCGCGTTAGAGGAGGCGGAGTTGACCGGTTAGGGACTGTTCCTTACTTGTGTGTGTGTGTGTGTGTGTGTGTGTGTGTGTGTGTGTGTGTGTTACAATTACATAATTTATCATGACCAGAAACTGTAAATTACCTTGGATTCTCAAATTTCCTACGGTTCTTGGACACATCATGTGCAACAAATGCCTCTGTCAGGGAAAAACATACCCAAATATTTTATTAAAGTCACTTCCTCTTACACAACCAGAGTGTTTTTTTACTTTCACCTTTAACTTGTATATAAAAAATGCTGCGCTACATGACGCAGATAGTGTATGACATGTCTATACATTTCTTTAAAAACAGAAATTATCTTGTTTTTTTCTAATTCCCAAAGGTCATGAACACATCAAGCAACAAATGCTTCTGTCAGGAAAAAAACATAACCAAATATTTCATTATTATTATTATTATTTTATTCTATGTTTCGAAATAAACTGTTTACACAAACTAACCAGCATGGACAGGAGTGGAACAATTGAGCCTTTTTTTTACTTTCACCTTCAACTTTTACCAAAAAAAAATGCCTGTAAATTTCTATAAAAACAGAAATTATCTTGAATTTTAAATTTTTTAATGGTCTTTCTTGAACACATCATGTGCAACAAATGTCAGGAAAAAAAAAACCCACAACCAAATATTTCATTAAAATCACTTTATTCTATGTCTCATTTGCACAAACCAACCAGCATACACAACAAGAGTGAAAAACTGTGGCTTTTTAAAAACTTTTATGTTCAACTTTTACATAAAAAATGTCATACACCAGCTGCGTGCAACATGACGCAGATAGTGTATGACATTTTTTATACATTTCTTTAATTAAAAACAGAAATTATCTTGGATTTTCAAATTTCCCACAGTCCTTGGACACATTATGTGCAACAAATGCTACTGTCATAAAAACAAAAACAAAAACATAACCAAATATCTCATTAAAATCACTTTATTCTACATCTCACTTAAAAGTTGGCCAAAAATGAACTTTGCACAAACTAACCAGCATACGCAACATTACTTCAGGATTACATTATCAGCTTTTAATGTTTAATTTTCAAATATCAAGGAGTACGATTTAAAAATCTAATAACTAATTCATGGTGGAGGGAGGGTCATGCATTTTCCGCTGGTCACTCAGGGAGGCTCAGGGAAAAATACCTGTTGCTCCGGGAATTTAAAAAAAAAAAAAAAAAAATCAGTCACACCCGAGCCACCCTGCTCCTCTGACAAGTAAAGAACAGTCCCTTAGGAGCCAGGATCATGTGACTGTTAACGTTATTTTACCACCACAAACACTGCTGACATAGATAACCCAGTTCATCACACTGAAAAGATGTGACAGCACAGAGCATCATGAGCAGATGTTTATTTAACTACAACAGCCTGTGTTTACAGCAGTTTGACCCCTCAGGGTCCCTCAACTGGTTTGTCCTACAAGGTCTTCTTCTCTTCCTCAATTTGGGGCCATTCATCTGCAGAGGCCTCAGAAGCCTGAGGAGAGGACAGACAGATAAATAGTGGAGTTTGACTGCTTTGTGTAAATATCATCCTACCAACTGGGGCACATGCAGACCCCAGAGGTATACGTTTTGTATCGTATCCCATAGGTGCATCATTTTATCATTGCAGTTTGACACTTTGTCAGTCAGTTTCTTCATAATGGCTTCATATAATTGTTTTCTGTTTCTATTTTAATTAGTGCTTTGTACACATACACACAAGTACACATACACATAACAGAATTTAACAAACCAGCCCCTACTCTCACCTGATCAAATTCACCCTCTCTGGCTGCCACCACAACATCAGCATCTTCACTGTAGTCTGACAAATCCTGAAAGGAGAGAGAGCTCTCATCATTAATTATTTATCCTAATGGAGATGATCATGAAACTGGATCATGTGAGTGAAGTGAAAAGCTTTTGAAAGATGGAGATACAAAAATATTGACTCACCAGCTCTCCCTCATATGCAGCCACCATTTTATCCATCTCCAAGCTCCTGAGAAAAAATAAGTTGTCACATATAAAGAGACAGTTCACTCAAATCAAAAATACATATTTTTACTTTTCAGTGTAGTGCTATTAATCAGTCTAGATTGTTTTCAGTGTTGGTGATATCGGCCGTAGAGATGTCTGCCTTCTCTCCAATATAATGGAACTAGATGACACTCGGCTTGTGGTGCTCAAACCCTCCAAAAATATATTTGAAAAACTCAACAGCAATGTCTCTTTAGCAATCCACAGATCTTGTTGTGAGCACTTTCATGTAGGAACTATTTTCTTTTTACAGAACTACACTTGCCAACCATACCACAGCACAGAAGGAAGTGGGCATCTACTGCTGGCTCACCTAGCACCACTGAGATAGCTAGCATACAGCTCAGCCGAGGAGGACGCCATTAATGTTTATATCTGACGCCGTCATGAGCACAAGCCTCTCACCTATGAGTAGATATATGCTTCCTTCTGCGTAATGATATAGGTGGCAGGTTTAGTTTGGCAGAAAGAAAACACACCAAATCAATTTATACTGATAAATAGCACAACAGGTAAGAGGAAAACTATTTTTGATTTTGGGGTGAACTGTCCCTTGTAAACACCCTTTTATTCCAATAGCATACATGAATGTATTATAGGTCTAACTACACATGGTGGTGTCGCAGTCACTGAGGTGACGGTCACTGACTGTGGTGTTTCTGGAAATATCAAGGTTTAAACAACCTGAGGAGGAGTGAACCTTCCACAGTTACACCTAAATATAACATAATGAATTTTTTTAAGACTGATTCAGAGGGTTTTTTTTGACTTATTGTATTTAAATTTGACTTTTTCTGGCAAAGCTATACCATTTTGATAAAGGAAGAATTAAAACCCTGGGCATTTCACATGACATCATCCTGTAACAAGACAATGTGAATGTGAGAAAAATAATGAGAGCAATGGGAGAATTACTGACCATTCCAGACAGTATCAAGGATGTTTATGATGTTATGCACTTATGACACTGTGACTGTAAGCTGCACAAAACATTGTACACAACATTCACCACATAACCACATCCCCAGTTCAACCCCAGCCACATGTCTTTCTCTTCTCTCCCCATGTTTACTGTCAGTTTACAAGTTGTCAAACTGTTTAAAAAAGGGAAAAATCTCCCCAAAATGTACCTTATACCTCAAAATGTCCCCTAAGCCCACAGTTGATATTGTGAGTCTTGATTGTGAACAAGAGGCCATATTTGGAGCTTAAACAAAGCTCCTGTTGCAAGGTGTGTAGCGTGTTCACTTACAGCATCATTGCTACATAAATTAATATGTGACCATGAACAAACAAGACCATTGATGGACCTAATTTTATATTATTTGTTGATGTTTTGGATGCTGGCATGAAAGCTACTGTAGTGGATTTATGGCACACAGCAGGAAAACAGAAAGTAGTATTTCACATACAGCAGCACCAGCCATTGCTTCTTTTTATCTGTAGATGGTGAAGGAGCTCCCAACATGTTAATCATTCTCGGTAAATTATTAAAGAAAACCTTACTGAGGATCAAGTGGCTCAGTTCTCTTTGCAAGAGGAAGTAACAGTGTCATGTGAAGTGTGGTCATTTTTTTTCGAAATGTGTCAGACTGAAACAGAAAAATAACTCACAGAGACTTGTGTCCGTACACCCTTCGCCCTGAAACAACAGTAAAAAAAAAAAAAAAACCGACATTAATTCACAGTATCAATGATGAGGAAGCCACACCAGATAAAAACAGAACACTGAAACTCACTGAACATCACTCCAACCAAACAACAGACGGAGACCAGGAGAATCAGGGCTATGAAACATCCAAAGACGGCAGCCACCACCAGGGTAGGGAGGCGATTCAGCACTGGAGGAGCAGGAAGATAAAGAAGAGATAAAACCAAGGATGTTTTACTGAAAGGCAAAGGCACAGGTTTCATTTCAACATTGTGGGGGGACATATGAAATGAGCTGTTTGGGGTCCTCCCCCAGGAATTTTTAGAGGGCAAACACTTAGGGCCAATGCCAACACACCCCTTGCCCTAAGGCCTTAGCCCTTACCCGCCCGTATTGCACGTTCACCTCTAGAGGTAGCGAGTCCCTGTTCTTGGGTTAGAGGGGTAAGGGGAAGTGTTGGGGCTACATGGCCCTTCAAACTGAGGTTTTTCAGAGGCACAAACCGAGTGTTATGAGAAATCATTGTCAAGATGGCTGCACAAACAACAAAAGAAACCCACAAATCTATTTCTTTCTTTAATAAAGATAAAAAAAATATGATAACCATTGTGCATTCTTTGTTTAATGTTGTTTCAATGTATTATGATCCTTTTCTATATGGCAAGCAAAAAAAAAGAAATTACTAGTATGCCGTTGTCACGTTAGCTAATTAGCTAGGATTGGACAGTCCCACATTCTAACACATTTCCATGTCGCCCACTACTCCTTGTGACTTGGTTCCAAGGGCCAGGTGGCACTCAAAAATTAGGGAGATAATGTCAGACGGCTGTAATTTCCTGAATTCTGGTGATTTTTTTTGTGCGACTTTGTACATTTACTGCATCAATTAATGGTGGAAATGTTTTTAGTTTCCTCTGCTACTTTCACGTTTTGTATATGCGGGGATAAATGCATACGTTCCAAGTATCGAGGAGAACGTGTCCCCTGTGTCGCGCCACCCCCCCCAATAATCATTTGTGGTAACACTGTAAAGTGGCATGACTAATTCATATATTAATGGTCATTTATGGGTGAAGCATTCCCTAAATCAATGAATCATCTGTACCATCTTTATCCAAGTACCGCCTCTTGCTGCTTATGGCGGTGGTGTTGTCAAAGCTGTCTGACACTTCACAGTGGTACGTTCCGGTGCTGCTCCTCCCTACAGACAGCAGGAGTACAGACTGCTCTGGGGGCTGGTTGACCACATGGTAGAAGCTTCCTCGGTCATGTAGGAGGGTTGTGTTGATGAACCACTGGTATCGTGGAAAAGATCCCTTCGCCGCCTTGCAGTAGAGCCTCAGGCTGGTCACAGCGTAGTTTTCTCCAGTGTCATAGTCGTAATGCATCTTCACAGGCCCAACAACCGGGACTGTTGGAGACATTGTGGATCAAAAACAGACATCATGGACAAACATTAAAATAAGGTAATCTGTCAAACAATTCACATACCAACTTCAAGGGGAATCCATTCACTGTATTGGGTCTGGTCTCCATTGTTTGCCCAGCACTGCAGCCATCCCAAGTGCCTGCCCAAGACCACTGGAACCTCAAATGCAGCATTTGTCTCTTCAACTGTCATATTGGCAACCAATTCTGTCTTGCTGTATAGTGAAAATGTTATAGGCAGAGACCCTTTGGTTGACTGACAGGCGACTATGGCAGAATATTGGGAATCTTCCTTTGACACGGTGAAGGAGATGTCAGGGACTGACACCACGTCTGAGGGAGTAAGATGAAGCAGAATGTTACTTTGCTCAAAGACACCATGTCATGGCTGTGAAATCTGAACCTGTTAGTGTATTCACGACAGCTAACCTTTGACTGTGATTAAAACTTCAGAGCTGTTTGTGGTGAAGAATTGGGTGTTGTTGAAGTTGTTGGTGGCGACACACTTGTAGGAGCCACTGTCTTTGGAAGTAGTCCTGAGGGTGACACGTAATGGTTTCGGTAACTTTTCTTTTATATGTTCAGTTGAAAATGAGCATGCTCAGTGGCCTCCATGATAAAGGAGTTCCTTCTTAGACAGTGTTGAACACGTTTGTTGAGGAAAATGACTCACAGAACACAGGAACTTGCTTAATCAAGAGATGCAACAAGGCTTTTTAGCAACTACTTCGGTTTTTGGTCACAACAATTTCTAATTCAGAACTCTGATTTTTCACACAAACATCAGGTTTACAATTCTCTTGGTCTTACATAACTCAGCATGAAACAACACGTTTTTAGATTTGTTTGTCTACAGATTAAGCAACAAGAAACATCACGTTACAGTGCAAATAGACAACTTTTTTTTTAAACTTAGAATCATGACTTAAACGCTGATTGCACCATGTAATGGCTATAGGATAACGACACCATCTCTATTTAGATTGGTTCCCTGTAAGCCTCACTCACACAATGTAATTCTGTCTGCCATCAGGTGCGATCTCCTGCAAACATTAAGGCTAAATTTAAGTCACAAAGGAAGTGCGTCAAATGATGTGCAGAAAAGGAGGAGGATCGCATTTTTGTTTCCCCAGTAGCTATCGGCTGGTATCCCCAGTTACCACAGAATATCAGTGTAAGTCCTTAACAGTTACTCTCCCCAGTAGAGGAAATGGCAAAAGAACAACCAAAGTAAGGCGATATTTATACTTCTACATTGAGTCGACGGCATTGCTACGACATCCTTCATCCTTCTGGGATTTATACTAAGGGATTTATCCTGGCTTCATATGAGCAGAGGAAATCTCTGCTCGTCACTAGGCTAATTTATACAATATAAGATGCCATAGGCTTGTGCTAATAACGTCAGCATGTTGTATTTGTTTGGAAAACTTGTTCAGTAAAAGACAGTTGTTTTGTCCGTGAACCTTGTGAGTTGCAATGGAGCCAAATTATGTGGTGTTACCTTTGCTAAATGTTGCTGTTGTCCCTGGCTTTAGAGGAATGCTATGCTAATTTATACACTGTAAAATGCCATAGGCATCTGTGTCCAGATAAAGAACGCTGTGAGTTGTAGTGAAGCCAATTTGTGTACTTGTGCTTGAAATTGTATCTATTAAGCCATGTTTAATGTGTGTTTTGAATCAACTAAACTTTACAGCACTTCACAGAAACCTCTGCTGCTGACTGGAGGTTTAACTGCTGAGTGACACAGACACACTACTGCACAAGTATAAATGCTCACAATGGCGTAGGCAATGTGCATAGGCTACGGCGTAGGGTCTGATGCACAAGTATAGATCCTGTTTAACTATGGAAACTGTGGTAACTGCTTGGCTCTGAAGAAAAAAAGCTATCTGGTTGTCTCTGCGACAGAAGCAACAATAACACCAATTTGAAAGGCTAGGGGGTGGAGTTAAAAAGTTGTCTGTTTCCACTGTAATTAGTGAGTTTTAGGCTAGCTGGCTGTGTCCAGTCTTTACACTCAGCTTACATGCTGCATCAAAGTCACATCATTTAAACCGTCACCAAAGAGGGGGAAAAAGAATCACATCAGCCTCCAACTTGTAGTTCAGAGTTAGAGATATTGGGTATTGCTGACACCAACAATATTTCACACAATAGTGATTGCAGCGTTAGCCCTAGCTCCATAGGTAACGTAAGAATCTCAGCGTGATATCAAATTTACATCTAACTCTTGGCAAAATAAAACATAAGCAAAATATCAAACTGCTCCTTTAATAATTCTCACACTCCTCAGATCAGTCATACTCTACTTTTCCTACTTCTACTGACATTTTTTTTTAAAAAAAATCACTCTATTGTCATTAACACACAGGTCTGAAATACACACACGCACAATCAGGACCTATACATACACAAAGTGGAGAGATGTCCACCGCTGCCCACATCGCGCATCGCAGGGTAAGATGTACACTCACACAGACACAGTTTAACTTAGACTACACAAGTTACAACACATCCCATTTACTGTTACAACAAGCCCCAGGCCCAGGCTGATAATATAAACTGTCTGCAACATTTCTCCTGCATTGTTCAAAAGCCTACTCAATTACGAGTGCTGCTAAGCTAAAAGCTAATGATTATGCTCAGAGTTTAGTGATAGAGAGGACAGGAGAGAAAGAAGAGGGAGAGGACAGGACAAGAGCAGTCAGTGGCGGAGCAATGGGTACCTGTCTGTAGGCTCTCCTCCTGTCAGTGAGACAAACATGAAAGACGTGCAGACGAGGAGCGGTCATTACGTGCGACTATTACGCACGGTTGTGGCGGAGCGTAGCTAATGGGTACCTGTCTGTAGGCTCTCATCCTGTCAGTGAGACAAACATGAAAGACGTGCAGACGAGGAGCGGTCATTACGCGTTACTATTACGCACGGTTGTGAGGTGCGCAGCGGCAAATCTCGCAGCACACTGTTTATAAACCAGTTTAATTGCAGGAAATGTTTAGTTTTAGTTTTAGTTTAGTTAGTATAGACATTCACTCTGCCTGTTGGAGAGATAGAGAGAAGATTAAAGCGTCAAATTGCGGTAAAAGATGCTGTATAAAAAACAGGCTACAACTTTTTTTACTTGTCCCCCCCTGGAATTATTCTCTAAAATTTTACTGTTTATTGTCCCCCCAACTATGAAATGGGATTTTCGCCCCTATGCCAACCACCCAGAATCACCACTGCAACCACCTAACAGCAACACTCCACCATCAGCCCCTTAGGAAACACCCTCTATGGCCCTAGTTTTATGTCTGCATCACACACGGTACAAAATGGTTAACAATTACCAAATAAATCATTCATCTGCTCACAACACCATATCAACCACGTGGTAATGCAGAAGCGGCTGTCCAGAGACTGACCTGTAGATCCAGAGACTGTCATCTGCAAAACGGTGGAGAGGAGACTGAGAGATAGGCCGACCATTCAGCAGCCACTTGTAGGAAACGTGAGTTCCAGCGGTAATATTACAGCGTAGCTTCAGTGTCTTCCCCTCAAAAAACTTCTCTGGACCTGAAAGGACGTCGATCTTTGCACCTTTCACTGGTTCTGTAAGACAGACACAGCAACAATAGACGGTTACTGCAGAACTATATTACATAAGACTGTATTATATCATGCACCAGGTTGGGGTTATATTTGTGTGTGTGTGTGTGTGTGTGTGTGTGTGTGTGTGTGTGTGTGTGTGTGTATGTGCGTGTGAATATTAAAGTGTATATATAGGTGTGTGTGTATGAGTATGTATACAAACATAGGAGAGAGCCTCTCTATGAGCTGACAAGAGAGGATATTTTTTGTTTGTTTTTTATTGTCATGGTATGCTGTTGCATAGGCATAGTGGGGTGGTGTGTGTGTGTGTGTGTGTGTGTGTAAGAAAATAAAAGACATTTACACAATAAATTGATGCAGAAAAGGCGCAAATTGCAGGAAATTGAATTGCATGCAGGAAATTATACATTTGATGCTCAAAATTATCTAAACCTTTTCTCCCTAAACCCTCATTTCATATGTTGAGTGCAGATGCATGTGTTAAATTATCACAGTGCAGATGTAATATTCTAGGACCCTTTCTTTTGTCCTTCCCTGTATCAAACCAGGTAAAAGTCTCACTGGGATTAAAAAGTTTTTTAAGAAAGACTTAGCCCAGATGCAGTTCACAGTAAAAGCAGTGAAACAATTATAAAAGTAACATGCCCAAGCTAAGAAAAACGTTATCTTAGACTTGATGAACACATGCCCTTTGAGTTTTGTTTTCTAATTGTGTCGAGCTTTTACAAACATAAATGCACGTACTGGTACAAGGAAGCCATAAAAAAGAGACTCACCAATAACCTTCAGATAGTGTGTGTAGCTGACAATGGGCTCTATGTCAGAGTTGTTCTGAGCCTTGGCCACACACTCCAGATTGCCCTCATGGTAAGTTTTGACTAAGATGGGGATGACTGCAGCCTCCCAATCCATGGAGGAGTATTCGCCCAGCAACTTGTCATGGTTATCCTCCCTAGAAATGGTTGATACTTAGAGGGATTTTCTAGAATTACTCTGTTAATGCACTGACTAGATTTAATCTGAACAAATACTCACTTATATAACTGGAACAGGACAGTGTCATTCCATGGGTCGGTATCCAGTGCACACTCAAAATCTACAACGCTTTTCACCAATGCCTCTGAAGGGCCAATAAGTACTGGACGCACCAGAGTTACCTGACCTATCAATACAATAAAATAGAATAAAACAAAACTGCACAAACACTCAACAGAAAGAATCAGGAGCTACAAAATGACACTAATTGACTAGACATGCACTAACACACACTCAAACAACAACTGACTTACTGCTCTCCTTGAGACAGTAGCACAACCCTGTAGAGAGTGAGAAGATATCAAATCAATTACAAGAGTTTCAAATTGTGAAATACTAAGTGTGCTGCAGTGTATTTAATGTTTAACATCTTACCCAGTGTGACCACAAAGAAGGAAGGAAACATTCTTGAAGAAAAATTGCCTAATACTACTGTATACGTCAAATGCAATTACACTACACTGTGTTATGGTGGAGTTTTAACAGTGGTTAGTGGCACTGTGGGTGAAAAAAATTCACACACGCACTTAGAAACATGTGCAGATAGCTGATAGTGATACACCTCCCTGTGGTACCCGTCCTCGTAACGACTTAAGATGTCAAGTCAAGTCATTTACTCACTGGTGTTATACATAGTCTGTGTGTGTCGCAAACAAAATTATATAAACTATAAAACAATTAAATTAATTGAATAATTTCTTAATTTGCACTGGGGCCCATCATATTAGCGTGCACTGGGGCCTGTTGTAACTGCCTTACACCACTGTGCAGGGGTGCAGGGGACACGTCCTCCTCAATATTTAGAACATGTGCATTTGTCCCCAAAAAATAAAAACATTAAAGTGGCAGAGGATTTTAAAGAACTGCTAGAACGTGAATCATAGATGGAACAATGCCTCCAGTAATGTGGATGGTGCCAATATCCAACCTCAAATGCAGTGGTTTGCATCTGCCATTAATTTAAAAGAAGATGAAACAACTATGCAGGATTAAAGGAAAGGCGTACTATGGCAATTCCACCTGAAGTTGGTTCATAAAAATTCATCAGACTGCAGGAAATAAAGTGTGTGATGCTCAGACTTTAATCAATATGTATGTCCCGCCAAATGATGAAACGAAAAAACTTCGCCGTTGTTGTTATGTTAGATTCTGAAAATGTGAATTTCAAAGCAAGGTAAGTCAGGAATCATAGAGCTCCCCAGGAATGAGTCCTAAAACCCGGTAATGAGTTAGTATTTTAGCACACATTTTAGCACTTTCCTTGCCTCAGAGTCAGTGGGTTTTTTAAATGGGTTTTTGGTTAGATGCCTGAAATAAGGTCTGTAATTAACACAAGCTGAAGAGACTTCTACGTTTTGTTCTATGACATAAAGTATGCCAGTAAATGCCTTGCTTGTAAATTTTGAAGCTTTTAAGTGCCTTACAGAAGGTGGTTGCTAACAAGTGGCTAAATGAGACAACAGAGAGTCATCATGCTTTTGTCAACACGGCTTCACAGTCTTGTTATGGTGGCAACGTTAAGTCATGCAACTGTGGTGTTAAATGTTTGTTTGCCACAGAGCTTATTTTTTGCAATAGTACAAAATCTAATGGAAAAATTCCAATGGATTTTTGATGAGGGAACCAAGCCGATGCTAGCTTTTACATCAGCCTACAGAAAAACGTCATCCCTGGGGCACTCTATTGTGAAGAGGTGAAGGTGTAATCAAGCATAATTTCTTTGACTGGTTTGATTGAAAAAAAAAAAGACAACAAAACATCCCTTAGAATTCAATTAATTTAATTTAATTTTTATTTGCAAACACATGACAATATACAGTAATTTTGCTTGAAATAAAATCTGTTACTATTTTTAATCGAATGTTCCACCAGTTTCTTATAAGCAATTTGGCAGCTCAGGAAAATTCCTAATTTCCATACCTGCAGAACAATAAAATATGACTGCAGATTAAAAATAAAATAATGAACAACTTTCATGAAGAGATGATCGATTTGACGGGAGGTGCAGGTTCTTCCTGTGTCACACTGTGATCTCTACGATCTAAAAGAGAGAGAGAGCTGTCATTTTATTTCAGTGCACACAGAGATCGTTAATAAAGGTCAAATCTGATATGTATTTGTTTGTCCATTCTTTAACAGTTGCTTTTGTCTTATATGGATGTAAAGTTTCTGAACAGGTAACACTTTGATTTACATGTCCGCAACTTCCTTATAATTTCGTAGAAGATGGAAGAAACATTGTAATTTGGTATAGTTATAGAGAAAAATGTCTTACTATACTCACCTGTGTTGAGCTTATTAGCAGTTTTTTTTTTAATTTCCAGAGGAATTTCCTGAAAAGCCATACATTTTTAATTGTATGCTTGTCTGTGGACAAATTTCACAATTTTGCATATTGTGCAGGCCTGCGGTGCACTGACTTAAAAACTCTTTCAGTTACAATTGAAAGTACTGTATTTCCTTAATAGTTTCCTGATTATTTTGTCAAAAGATTCCTGATGACAATTATTCGAATTTGTACTAATAGAGAAAATAGCCCCAATGTTGAATTCATTTTCCATTGATTAATTCCATTTAATTGCTATTGTATCTTTGAGAGTCTTTTGGCAAAAATGTCAAATATATGAAATGTGAGTCCTGGTGAGCGTACAATTCAAACTATATATGTAAAATAAGGTTTCCAATAATGAATGAATAATTCAATAATATTTGCTTTGGTTTAAATGGAGCAGTACCTTCAAGGAAATTCCTATTTTCTCTATAATTAGTACCATGCTGTGTAGTTCTGTCCAGAAAACATCATAGCAAATGGGATATTGTTATTGTTGTAAAATAAAGCACTACTGTGTCCATTCTTTCTATAATTACTACCCAGTTATAAAGTATTTTCGGGAACTTTACAGTTACATATCACTTCCTTTTTAATGAAAAGTGTTACAGGACAGTATGACACTGATTCAAAATCATTGTGTTTACATGAGTGTTGTGCTCTGTTTGGTGGTTTTCAAGCCTGTATACCTCATTCTGAACATCGAAGTCTATAGACGAAGTATCTTCCTCTTTGCTTCCTGACTGGAACCTGGGTGCAGACTGAGGAAGTGCGCCAGAACTGGGAATGGAAGGCACAAACACTGTTAAATAGATTGATTTTAGCTACAAAAAAAAGAAAAAAGTCCATAAAGATAAAACATACTTTGTTGTGACAATGTGGGTATGAGCTGTGAAAAAAATGAGAAATGGAGACATCAGAATAGTTCATACAAATTCGGCTACACATTTAAAGTCAGCTGATTTGTCCCTCACACATTAACAAACACACACCTTGCATGTGTTCAAACATCTTGTACACGCAGCCTACACCCACTGCCAACATCAGAAGCAGGAAGCAGCAGAACACTATGGTAATGACCTCTGTGGTGTTCATGGAAACCTCTGTGGAAGAGAAGGGACACGTCCAGTGAAGTATTACATACTGTAGAGGCAGCACGTAAGGCATCTAAATATACAGTATGTGCTTTTACTTGGTAGTGTTTCAGTGGCAGATGTTGCTCGAGGCATGGAGCAAAGGATCCTGTCTGATCACGAGTAACAAGTGTGTTGGGATACAGTGAAGAGCACAGAGACAAGACAAGACAAGATAAGACATGATAAGACAAGAAAAGACAAGACAAGAGGAAAGTTATAAAAAGGCACATGACAAATGTTAAGTTGAGTCCGTATTCAAAAGAGTTACGCAATAAGATTGGGAGCGCTTCCATATCTGTACAGTAAATATGTGGAGGCAGCTGATTAGCTTAGCTTAGCATAAACACTGGAAAGTGAAAACAGCCAGCCTGGCTCTCTCCAAAGGTAAAAGCACCTCTAAAGATAACCAGTTAATACATTATATATTGTTTGTTTAACCTGTACAAAAAAATGGAAGTGTAAAAGTGAAAATTTGGCATCTTACAAAGGGTTACATGCCAGACCACTTCTCAACCCAGAGCCTTAACTGGGGACTGCCCTTTGTTCAAACAACCCAAAATTCTGAAGCCCCTTTAGTCTGAAAAATGTCCCACTTGACCAAAAGCCCATTTCTCCAACAGCCCATTATCCCAAAGATCTATGCTTATTGCTCTGAAGTCCAGACTCTCCGAAAATCCACATTGACTGGAGTTAAATGACCAAACCGCCAGAACAAATGTTTGCATTTCACGTTTCTGTAAACCACAGATTTGTTACTTTTGTACATTATTTTGTAGCTGATACGTTGAACATTAATGTTTCTCAACAACACTGTGATGAATGTGTGGTTAGGTTTAAGAAGAAAAACTACTACTACTACATTTTGGCCTAAAACATCTGCGTTTGGTGGCAAAAAAAAGGAGGAACAAGAGAAGGAGGGGCATGCCATCAAAAAATAGCGATCACCCCACTGTGACAGCAAAACTCGATTGAATGAACATGTTTATTAGTAAGCTTTAGAGGTGTTATTCTGTGACCTTTGGACAGAGGCGGGCTAGCTGTTTCCCCCATTTGCAGTCTTTATGCTAAGCTAAGTTAACTGGCATCTGGCGGTATCTTATTTACTGTACAGACATGAGCATGGTATCAATTTTATCGTCTTAGTAAGTCTTGGTAAGCAAACGAATAAGCACATTTCCCAGAAATGTTAAACTACTCCTTCAAGATTACTTTAATTGGACACCTAGTTTTAATCTTTTCACCTGTCGCTTGGACCCACACAGCTGCACTGTCCACCCAGGGCCCGGAGTCATCATAGCTGTCCCTGGCCCTGCAGCGGTAATGCCCAGACTCCTCTGGACCGAGCGTGGCTAGAACAAGGGTTTGTCTATGTGTAGATAGAGCATAGTGAGACAAGACAGACTGAATATGGGAGTCCATATATGTCTCAGGGGGAAGGACAGAGTCATTCAAGAGCCAGGAGACGTGAGGGAAAGTTCCTCTGCTGACTCGACAGCTCAACCTGGCAGCAGCCAGTTTGGAGTCAGCGCTGTAGAGATATTCAACCTCCACTTTCGCATCACCTCCGACTGGGACTGGGCAAACGGAGGGGAAGAGAAGGAAAGAAAGATTAACAAAGAGTGGAAGGAAAGGAAGGCAATCACAGAGAGACTTATTTCTTTCACATTTCTGTGTAGCGCATACCCACTTCCAGAGTCACAGGATCACTCATCAACTTCTGCACCTCAGTATTCACCCGACATTGAGCCATGCCCATGTCCTGCCCGGGCACCATGGTGACAGGGAACCAGGCAGCGAGGGATTCAGTAGCTGTGACAGATCCCACCTCTTCGTCATCTATTAAAAGAGAGATGTTGACTGGAAGACTCCCTCTTGTTGACCAGCAGGTCACGTTTGCACGGTGACTGGCTCCCTCTTTCAAGATTGAGAAAGAGATTTTTGGCTTGGAAACGTAGACTGGTGGAGGAATAAAGAGGGGGGAAGATGGGAAGATACATGTGAAACAAATATAACCAACATTTCAGACAGGTGTTTTTTTTGTTGATACACACCTTTGACTGTCACCTGGAACTCGAAGCTGCTGGAAAACCTCCTGGTGTCCTGCACCGTGGACCAAGCCATGCAAGAATACCATCCCGCATGTTCTGGAGTCACATTCTCCATCACTAGCTTGTTACCAGTGAGGTGAAGAAGGGGAGAGGTTGAAGACGTCACTTCCCTCCTGTTGAAAAACCAGGTGTAGGAAAGGTGGGACCCCTTTGAGACGCTGCAGCTCAGTACGATGTGTGACCCCTCATATACCACGGGGGGGGAGGGTTCAGAAGTCACTCTGGTGTTCGATGCTGGAGCTAGAGGTTAGGAATGATAGATGGTTGGGGAGGAGAGAAAAAAGTCAGATTTCGGATTTTTGTTGTCCAGTAAAGTAACCGTGATATTAAAAGTTCTATGCGGATTTTTCAGTCATCTAAACCCCTAAACCATTTTTAAAATTATGTTTAGGGAAAACATTATGGTTTGGGTTAAAATTAAATGATTTCTGACAGAAAGCCCTGAAGACAAACTTATCCCATGTGCTCAAATACCTGTAAAACTAATGACATTCCCATCAGCCTCAGCTGTCAGCCTACTTTGTGTTTTATGCTGTTTGACCCTTCGCTAAGTTCCGTCCCTGTACGAAGACTGACCAATCATAACGTAGCATCTGGCCGGCTCAGACCAGGGTCCGACAACCACACAGCTGTGCTCCATTGACTCTAATGCAGTCGTTTCAGACTTCCTTCATTTTCAGGCTGGTTTTGTGGATTTGGAGCCAAATGTTGTGCCTGGGGCACGTCGTGTATTAATGATACTCGTTACCTGGAGAGGTTGGAAAAAGATATACGTTTCTACCCTGTTCCAAAACCAAAATTAGTCCCTGAAAAGTGTAGGGTTAGCTAGCTAGCTACTGAAGATATAGCCTACTGAATGTATACACATGCTGCTTTTGTTTTTTAGTGATTATAACACTGAAAAGAGGCCAACCCTGCTGTACAGGAACCAGTGAAGGGAAGCAGGGAAGCTTCGCTGATATTCAACCAGCCGTGTGTCATCACAGTGTGTGCAGATGATGGTGTTTAGCTTCCCCTGGTGCTCACTGCCTGTCCACCCAGCGGAGGTCTAGCAGCTTGTGGCACGAGGGAAAGCCAAACATCGTTCATCTGTACACACTGCAATGACACACAGCTGGTTGAATATCGGCAAAGTTTCCCTTTATATTCATCTATTTCGATCACCGGTGATGTGGTGGTTCTCTTTCACACAGTGAACTGTGCCTATAGTTAAGCCTTAGCTCCTGTTTTTGTGCCTGAATGAGCTTTTTTGTTTTCCAGTGCAGTTAGTTACAGTGAGGGCTCCATGCTCGCTCCGACAGATTGACGGACCAACACAAAGAGTCAAATGCTTCACATGGTAACTTTAAAGCTCTAACAGGATGAATGCTTTTTCTGTCTCTGCGTATCTTTTACTCACTGACTACACTCAGCTTGATGCTGTTGCTGACTCCTGTGCTTTCTCCTGCCGTGGCTTTACAGTGGTACGACCCCTCTGATGTTGCAGCAACTTTCAGGAAGAACGAAGCACGTTGGTCTTCTTGGAGATCAGCGGCTGTGTCAATCACAACATCACCATCGTCCAGCTCCAGCAGCAGCTCGTAAGTGACTGGCAGAGAGGAGTGAGTTGCATTACACCGGAAAGCCACCCTCGAGCCAAGGTAGGCCATGTCAGGACCAGTAAGCACTGGGCGAAGAGAGATCGATCCACCTGAAGAAAGACATGAAACACTGGATGGAGCCCTGAAATTTACCCATAACAACTTTTTAATAGAATATGAGCAGATACAGCTACCGAAGCATTTTATTTCAGGTTATGAGATCAAAGAATAATATCTGAAAAGTTCTGAACCACTGAGGACAAACTTTAGATGTCACAGCCAGCTAAGCTCCATATCTCACATAAGCACCTCTGCAACAAACTTACTTATCTTGCTGAAGAAACTTGCCAGAGCTGAAAAAAAACACGTTACAGTAAGAATATTAAACCAATAAATTATTAATACATGCAGCCATTTTAAAGCGATGTTGACTAACTCACCCAAAATTGGCAGCAAATTATGGGTCCGTAGATTCTTCATAACAGCGCTCCGTATTTATCTTGGACATTGTTTTTCTAGCTCGGTTCAGTGTGTGCACGTTTGTGTGTGTGTGTGCGCGCGCGTGTGTGGTTATGTGGATGCGTTTGTGTGTGTAAAAGCTAGGGGTGTTTCACGTGTGTTGCAAGTAGATAACATATAAGGCTACATGTTTGGTTTCATTTTAAGCAACACAAATAAAGCTAAAGGGTTTACTGAGTGGGATATTTAAAAAAAAAACACTCACTTTATTTAACACAGGTAAACTGACATTTGGAAACACAACCAAATACTACGACCACCACATAAATGATGATAAAAATTACACTTATAAGCATAAATTCTTAATTTACAGACAACTAAAAACACAATGTCCCTGTCAAGCTTCACAAACAAAGACAATAAAAAAAGAACAAAATTTTCAATGCCATAAAAAATGACTGCAAACTGACAATTAAGGTTAAAATAACACCTTTGCAGAAAGAGGCCATAACTGCATTTCATTTCTTTGTACATCATGTAACTGGAACAGAAAAAGTTCATTACTACTTTGACTTTTTATTTTCAGCCACCCCAGGCATTCCCAGCTGCCGTCAGCCAAAGCTAGGCTTTATTTTCAAGTGTCTGTGGATGAACGGGCCTGACAGCTTGAGGACTCTAATCAGTTTGCATCCGTGGAGGGGTGGTCTTTCCAGTGGTTGAGGGGGGCGTCTTCTTTGATGGGTGCAGAACGCACTCTGAGGGGGTTTCTCTGACGTCTGAGCATCGTGGCGTGCTGTTTCACCAGGAAACGCTTATCTGAGCTGCTCTGTGAGGAAACCACATACAAATCTATAGACACAACATGCACACAGATACACTAGAGAAGCATAATAATAACAGGCACAGTAGTTGATGATTCACTTGCAACAACCAAATCAACTATTTTCTTATCTTTTGTCTGTGACTAATTTGTAAATATGTAAGTGTTTGATGACATGTGACTTACCATAACCAGCATGTCTTTGAGTCTCTCGATGGCCTTCTGATTGGCTCGTCCCCGTGACACATATGAGGTTAAGATTATACTGAGGAAACAGAAGCAAGACCAGCAGATCAGATGAAAGTACTGTGTGTCTATTTTAAAACAGCTTGTATCCACTGATGATTATTACTTTTACACAACATGTATGCCGCTGTACACACAGTGCTTCTAGTTCTCTTACACAAAGGTTGAAACAGTCTTAAAGCAGATTATACCTGTTTTCCTTCAAGCAGCAAAAACTCATCACAAAGCAAATACAGAGCCAGTGTTTGCCTAAACCTGTTGCATACTTACATCTCAGCCAGTATGAGCGGCAGGGCAAAGGCCTCAGAGGCCAGGTAGCGGAGAGTGGTCTGTGCAGCGCCTGGCAGACTGTTCATACACACTCCTGTCACGTTAAACAGAGTTTCTCCATTTCCAAAAGGACCACAGGAGGAACTGGAGAAGAAGCCGGAGAAACAAATTGGAGAAATGAGCAACAGAGAAAAGTTAAATATAAATGGCATCTTTGAGTGGTGAAGGAGCAAATGGATTTTTTATATTAACAGTTAAACAACTACAGAAACAAGAAACAGCATTTAAAATTACACCTAGACAGTATGTTCTCTGTACATTAGTCAAAATAACAAAAACAGTACATGTTTTTGTTCGGTGCAGCTTCTTGCTGGTAGAGGTTGAAGCCCAGTGCGGCTGCAGCCATGAAGAGGCCAAGCAGCAACATGAAGTGGAATAAAACGGATGAGCTGGAGGCACGAAACATCCTCTGCTCTGCCACACAGCACCGCAGGACTGTGAACTGAAGACAGTGTTGGAGAGAGATAGACATTGTTAGAAAATGTTCAAATACAGGTGATGATTACTGCAGCATCATGGTCACAACTCTGTCATTGCAGAACCATGTACCATAGACCAGGTCAAGAGGGAAACAAGGAGAGACAGAACAAAACAAAATTTGATGAAAAAAAAGAAGCTATTTAATGGTGCTATATACAACATTAAGAGTCTGGGCTGGGATTGCCTTCACATGGCTCTCAGCTCTGATGACCTCACAAGCACACATGGAGGTGGTTGAGATGAAACTGCAGCAACTAGCTTTGCTAACAGGCTAACAGTGCTAACAATGACGACACTGCTGACAGAGCCAATAGAGGTAAAGCAGGTTATCGGGATGACCTGAGGGGGAACCAGAGGGTGGTGGAGCAGGGGTAAAAGGGAGGGCCAACAGTTTCAAGGGAAGGGACTCACATGCATTGACCTGAACACACACACACACACACACAGTGTGTGTCTTCAGCCCTTATTAAGACTCATTTATACTCCCTTTATGTACGAAAATAGATATGTCCATTTCAAACGTTGTGATGTCACTTTCCTCATCCTCCATGTGTCCTTTATGATGGCATAGATAGAGCCAATAAATGGCACTAGAGGTTTGAGTCAAAAGTTTCACACAACAAATGAGGCAATGGTGGCCTCAGAGGTGGTCTGTGCGGCCATTACATACATCCCAACAAGTGGAAGGAGAATTCCTTTCACTATTTTCACTATATATTATTAGCGCATATATCTGTAAGCTTTCAGAAAACATGCACAAATACAGATGAAATGAACACAGAGTACAGACAGAAGGCTCCATCTGTCTCTGTTTTCTGTATCTAATGTTGAGCATTTTAGAGGGCATGCCTGCATCGCAGAAGCAAAAGATGCATGAAGGGAGTGACGTGTAATACAACAGCATCAGCCTCCAGTGTGACATATAACATATGCGTCAGCAGCACTTTATGAACAATAACAATGGCATTACCATGTCAACAACAATCATTTACTACCCCTGTTATATGGTGGCTGATCTGGCCCCCTGTTAGGAAGATAAGGAGCTCCCAGACCTCATTGTTTTCCTAATTTGCAGACATTCTCGGGCGCTTTTCTTCTTCGAGTTAGCTGCTAACTGCTATCAGTTGCTTTAAATCTTCCAGCAGTGGGTGGCATACATAAGATGTTGTCAAAATATCATAGCCGTCCTGCCGGCTGTCCCTTTAACTCAAAGGTTGTTTCTATGCTGTTACTACTTCTGATGCCAGCTTAAAGGTGAGACAACTCTGTCCCAGCATTCCATGATTGTACCTTTTATACAGAACAGTGAGGCGTCATATCGGCATGAAATTCCTGCCCTGAAGTTGTTGTGTATATGTTCGTATGTATGCCGGTATGACATTACCTCACTATGTCTTTACATAGCATATAGTTGTTTGCTGCTACATTAATGTTCAAGCTCTCATATATAGAACATCAACATAGATTATTTAAAGGAATATTACAACATTTTGAGAGACTTTCTTAGTTGCTTTCTTGTCTGGAGTTAGGTGAGAGAAATCTTCTCTTCTAAATGTTTTTTCCTTTAAAAAAAGTGGAATTTGTTAATATAATTTGCACAAAATAATATATTTTTTCTAAACAAATAACATCCAGGAGAAGAGGTTTCCTTATCTCTATGTCTATCATTACAACCATCAGGTACTGTTATTATTTTAATATTGCTGCTTTGGTACTTCCAAATTACTAATTTACATTTGTTTATTTCATATCTGAATGCCTTGATCAGATTGGTTATTGTGACATCCATGCCAGTACAGGATGTTGAATGGGATCTAAACATTGAGAGATACAAAGAGGGAGGTAGAGACAGTTGAAATAGATGGACCATAACTCTCATGTCCCGGACAACCTTTTTGATGTAGAAGGTGGCCATCAGTGTGACAGTTCCTATCAGAGGCAGCAGAGGGCAGTAGTAGACTCCCACCCAGGACACTGTTTGACCATACACCAGATCCAACACATTGAAAGGGATCAGGAAGCGCTGTTTCCCTGACAACCGGGCCAGCAAGGATAAAGGATACTTCTCCTGCACCAGCCTGTCAGACAGAGGAAATATAGTTTGGGCAGAGAATTAATGACACTTGACTACACAGTTTAACTGAGCTTTAATCTTTCCATAGATTAGCCAAACTGCTGGGGAATGTACCCAAGACCGACATCAAACGCACTGATCTTTCCATTCAAACCCCAAGGCTGACTAAGAAAGAAAGAGACTGTAGATCTCAAACAAACCCACTTCCTGGGGTAGTTCATGAGAAAGGCGTTGCAGAAAGTGGCGAGGAAGTTGAAGATACACAGCTTGTACATCTCTCGACCAATCCTGTTCTCCCCACAATGGGAAGGATTCTGTAAAGAAACACACAAATGATAAGGGAGTTAATGACAAACTTAATGACACATATGAGTCTTGAAATATGAACCTCACTCTCAACTCACTTGCTGACATTCTGTTGTTGGGAAGAGGAAAAATAAGTAGATCGCCAGTGAGGCCAGCTTCAAGAAGATGCTCCTGAAGTAAAGAGAAGTGAACTGACAAAGCTGTGTGTGTGTGTGTGTGTGTGTGTGTGTGTGTGTACAGTAGGTTATCCTGGGTTTGTGTCCCTGTGCACCTTACCTCACAAGTGTTGCATTGACCTGCATGGTGAAAGAGTAGTCTTCAAAAGATGAGATCTTACGGAAGATGTGGGGGAGGACAAGGTTGACAAAGGTGATGGTGATGGGAGGGAGGTACTGGAGCACCAGACTGACCAACCAGTAACCATTCTAAGAGACACAGTCCAGGGTGTCAGATGTGAACATCTATTCAACCAAATCCAAGACACACCATCCAGCATCAAAGTCTCACCTTGTAATCTGATGTTTTGGTGGCGAAGTAGATGAGGTAGAAGGCTCCACCCAACAGAGACAGAACGAGCAGGTTGAGGACAAACCTGAGCAGGTAAAGACGCACCCTCTGTCTGAGCGTCCTCTGAGACTCACGCAGGGAGAAACTCTGCTCCTCCAGGAACAGCTGAGGATGGAGAGAAAGAAATACAGGATCACCTCTCTATTTAATCTAAAACATTAGAACTGCAGTATACAGACATACATACATACACAAGAATCATACAGTGTATCTACAATCTATATATTTTACACACTATAAAACCCATAAAACTATAAAGTAGTAGAACATGGATTCCAAAACCCCTAAACACAGGGGCCCAGAGAAAATGCAAGGAGCAGTACTTTAATCTCTCTTTATGGGGA